TGGATTATGATGATTTGTTGGTGGCGTATCAATTAATATTTTTAATTGATTATAAAATTTTTTAGCCTTATAGTCAATTAAATTATTTATTTTATAGTCAATTAAATTTTTTAAAAATACTACTCATCAAAGATATATATATACAATTGATTAGTAATATTCGAGCCAAAACGAGCCAAACACGAACGAACAAATGTTTGTTCATGTTGTTCATGTTCGACTCGTTAACTTAGTGAACGAGCCGAACACGAGTTGTTCGCGAACAACGAGCCGTTTTGACAGCCCGAGTCATTTGGTTGCCTGTAATAATAATTTGAATTTACAAATGTAAATTAAATTATAGTTTATTAATTTTCAATAAATCTGTGTAATTTAACATAGTGTTGGTGATTAATTGCTATTATTAGTATTTTCTTAATTATTATTTCTAAAACAACCAAATGTGCTTTCGATATCACACCTCGTTCCTTTATTTATGCGATATAAATTAAGAAAGATTTGCATACAAACCACTCAAATTTTAAAAGTAATTTTTGAAATTGTTTGACTTCTTACTACTAATTAATGAAGTCATGTGGTTAGTTTAAAAATTTATTGCTGTTAAATTAATTGTTTCATTCAAATCATCATATTTAGGTAGTAATTAGGCCTCCTACCTCTTCAATCCTTCCTTCCTCTCAAAAATCTCTATTAATTCATACATCCTGCCTGCCTCCCAAGTGTTCTGGTTCTTGCTCTCTCTCTCCCAGTTTCAGTACTCTAAAATCCTAATGCTTTTGCTCTTTCTTCTCCCCTTCCTTCCCTTCCTGCTTCTTTCCATCACCCATATGCCTAAAAATCCCATCTTTCCTTCTTTCATCCACCAAATTCTACTTTTTACACTTCTTCTCTGCCAGGAGTTCATCTCCCACTCCACAGAAAACATAAAAAACAGGACAATTTCCCTGCTCCAATCCCTCAAATCCCTTAATCTAATGCCTCGCAATAAAGAAATCACCTTTGATGCTAACAGTTTTCATGCAATTGCTGCGGCGGATATAACGGTCCTTGATCTCCCTGAACTGCCATTGGATTGCATTCTGAAAAAGCTATCTCCTTTCGAGCTCTGCAACATGGCTTGCGTCTGCAGGTCGTTGAGGGAGAGATGCAGAAGTGACGATCTTTGGGAGAGGCATATGAGGGAGAAATGGAGCCGGGTGATTGGAGAAACAGCTCGGAGGAAGTGGAAGTTGCAGGCTGCAGAAGGGAGGGCTTTTAACATTAGAGGAGAAGCTGTGGGAGTTACTTGGAAGGTGTGGATGGGGAGATTGGTTTCCTGGTGGGCTCTTTCATGGCTGAAGCACAAGATGGAATGTCGGAGAAAGAGAAATTGTCCTCCTGATTATTCACTCGTTTCATTCTATCAGGCGCTTGAGAGTGGCAGATTCTCGTTTACAGCTCAGGTTTATAATCGTGAGGTATTGATGGATTATCATCTTTTCTTCTTTTAATTTGGGTGTATCTTTTTTCTATAATCCATTCAGAAACGGATGCTTCTATATTTTCTCATCCTAAAAAACACATTTTTATCACACTCGATTTTTCTAAAACTCCCTTTTTTATCGCCTAATACTACTAGTATTTTGTTTGGACTAATGTCTTGTATTTGGCTCTGCAATACAGAACGGACATACAGGATTTTTGATGTCGTGCTATGATGCTGAGGTTTGCTACAATCCTCGCACAGGCAATTTATTTGCAAGGTATGCAACTTGCCACAAGTGGCTAAGATTACTTTATCAGTTCAATTTTTCTTACATACGTGCTGTGTGTGTGGAAAAATATTTACGTGTGGAGCACGCACGTAGAACTGTGTGCGTACAGAGGTTATTCATGAGATATTAGAGAGTTATGTCGGTGTTATTGGAGTTAATACTCCTAATAACCTGATAAATCTTTCGAATAATAACAAAAAATATGAGTGCGGAACCGCAGAATGTATTGATAGGTTATTGGAGGTTATTGAAAAGTTATACTCCAATAACCTCTCAAGAACCCCCAATAAAAGAGTTATTGGAACGTTATTTGGGAGAGTGTGCACGCCGAAGTGCGTGAGTACTCCGTACGTAAATACCGCTCGTGTTTTTATGTGTGTTATTATAAAGTGGCATTTACACACATAGCACACAATTCTTATGTATTTGCAAATCTCACATCCAAACTTTTATATTTGCATACACAACATTCAAATCTTCAATACCACATCAAAATTAGCAGTATTGCCACTTTTAAGTGAATACATATTTGCATGCATAGGTTTAAAAATACTAAAATGCTACTATCTCTATATATATGAAAGTTTAGGTGTGATGTATGATGTAAATTTTAATATTATAAATATAATATTTGTTCACAAAATTTTTCATTTTTCTTGCTTAATAGGTACCCACCTCATGGGAAAAGAATTCCGGCTATAGAGGAAGTGCCATGGGAGAGAACAAGAGCTCCATCTGTTGTCACTCCACCTCACGAGCTTCACATCTCTGACTGTTTAAGCGACCTGCACCCTGGTGATCATTTTGAAATTCAATGGAGAAGGAACAAAGAATTCCCATATGGTAATGTCTCAAACATTAGGGACTTTGAAAATCTTTCCTTTTTTTCGGCATTTAAATCTATTATATGTACAGGGGTGGAACTGGCATTATTTTTTAGGGTGAGCAAAATCACTAAATATCTTTTTTTTTCTTTGTGTTGTGCAAAAATTGACAGGTTGGTGGTTTGGAGTTATTGGTCATTTGGAGACGTGCGACAGAAGCGATCGTCACTGCTATTGTGGTTCAAATGGTACAAATTTAATTCACATAATGTTATAGTTTCTTCATTCATGAAGGCATGAGATGTTTATTTGTAAATACATGCTTTAAAAGTCACACTTCACAATGAAGCTTCCTTGTTATTATTCAAAATGATTAAAGCAATGCTAGATGCGCTAATATTTTTGTAAGAACTAGTCATTTATTCTCTTACCACAACATATTTTTCACAACTTAGTAAAAATTAAAGCAAAATAGAAAAGAAAAGTGATGCCAAATGGGGGTGAGATTCTACGACTCACCGAGCCACCGTCCCCCTTCTAAAAGTATCATTCTTTCATGTGAGATTTCAGTTATTTATAATCTCAAGTGAGGGTCGAATGAGAGTAAATTCTAGATATCAAAACTCTACTATGCTAGAATGATGAGCAACAAGCAAGTAATGATTTTATATAATTACTTTCTGTATTGTAAATTTCACTACAAAAATAAAATTAAACGTTTTCTTTTTATTTTGCCTTTTGGTACATATATGTACTAGCATCGCGTACTCAGATCAGTTAGTCAAGCATCCGCGGTGTGGCACTCGAATTCTTAGGCGCATGAGGGATAACTGGGGCTCGTATTATAGCCTCTGGCCGTTCCTTCGAAAAAAAAAAAAAAAGTACTAAAAATTGGCATGTATCTTCTCCAATGCAGAAACCATTGTGTTGGAGTTCAATCACTACCCGGCTGGATCAAGATGGAGAAGGAAAACCATAAATAGAAAAGAACACAGTGAGGATGGAGATGAAAATCATGGCTTTTATGGAGGAATTAGGAAGATTCATAGCAAGGAAGAAATCTCCAAGTGGATGCAGTTCTGGCCCGCACAAGTCCTTTAGCTTCTGCCGCTTCTCTTCTACAATTTTTGTATACATAAAATCACATGTAATTAAATCTCCATTTTTTGCTAAACATTCTCTAATTGAAGCTGCCATCTAATAACTTCAAGAGCTAGCTAATTCTGAAAAGTGAAGGTGTTTCCTGTAAATATATATATATTTGTGTGTGTGTGTGTATATTGGTTTGGCATTTTCCTGTCTATTCCCTGCTGCTTTCTTTTTGTAGAAATGAGAGTTCCTATTATCTTATTTTATATTTTCCTTAAACAAATATTAGTACTGATAAAACGGTCAAATTCATATATGAATATATTTAAATAAGTTTTTAAATCATTATTAATTAAATATTCTATTGCTTTTAACAAAACTGCTTGTTAATAAATAAATATATATTTTGCTATTGGATGCATGAATATGCTTAGTTTTATATTAAGTTTTTAATCTATTCAATTTTATTTAATTATTTAAATAAGTAATTATAAATGAAGTTTTATTATGTCAGGACTTCTAACGTAGAGAAGCATTCAGAGTCTAATGAAATCACGCCACGTGACGGTGACAGATAAAAAACTAAAATATGCTCGGTAACACAAAGAAATATTTCTTACGTGTTATTCATGTATTATTGTATGTTATTAAAGTATTATTGATGTGTTATTGTGTTATTATAACACCGAGAATATTCCCAGAACACAATAACATCTGAATAACATACAATAACACCTGAATAACATACAATAACACGGAATAACACTGGAGGAATATTCTCCTGTGTTACCGGGCAAAAATTTTTCTTTTCTGTCATAATCACGTGGCGTTATTTTATTGGACTCCGAATAATTCTCTATGTTAGTAGTCCTCTCAGAATGATTTACATTATAAGCAGACCTACAACTAATAGGTGTACTTGCCCTAGCGGGCTCTGCTTGTTAATTATTTTTGCCAACCTATAAGTCAACAATATTTTTTTTTTCCAAGTGCTAAAAATTAAGTCCAATGCCATGTGAAAACTTTCTGATTTACGAAAATTAAAAAAAAAGAAGGTTATAATAAAAAAATATAAGCAAATATGTTTTCTGAAAATATAAGTTTATTCAAATAATTTTCTATTTTTTTAAATTGAAAGGTATCATTAATCTATTTTTATTATTATTGCAAGAACATTCTAACATTATTAAATTTTTTTTTAATTATCATGTTAAATGAATTGATGGACGAACATTATAATAATTTCTTTCTTCAATAAAATAATGTTTATTATTACATTGTAAACAATGTAATTTTAATTTTATTTCTATATATATATATATATATATATATATATATATATAATTGTTAACTTAAATTTTTTTTGACGGCCATTACAAATGAAAGTCGTGCTGCGAATAAGAACAAGAGAATCTTTTATGATAAAAAATACAAGTGCGAATCAAATTTATGATGATAAAATTAATTAATTAATGACTTTTCTTGATTTCAGTGCCCGGACTATTATAAATAGGCCATGGAGCATCAGTCGTTTGCACATATTTTTTTCTCTATTCCTTCTTGCTTGGTTTTCTTTCCCCCCACTTGAGTCAGGGATGCGCTCCTCAGGGCACTTGGAGGCATGCGGGCTAGGGCCTGAAAACTAGATGTAAAGCGAAAATTGGCCGACGAGACTCCTGTGGGAGAAACAGGAAAGAAAAAAGTAATGAAGAGATCAAAAGCTGGCGATTGTCAGGAATAAATTGGATCCTCCTCGTGGGTTCACAACAAGAATAAGTTTGAGAACGGTATGAGGGTTTGTCTGGTGTCCCTCCAGCTTGACACATGATCATGGTGGACGATCCTATAGGTGGGAAGAAGGTACCTGTTTAACCCACTTCCAAGCCATCAAACCCTCGGACTGGCGAGGTCAAAACAATGATTGAAGGTGAGTTCCCACCTCAATATCCAAGAGGTGATCCTCCCCCTATTGGCAGTAAACAAGGAAAAACTGGTGAGGGTGCAATCTCTATCACCGCATCCAAATGGAATTGAATCGTTAGCATGGGATTATAACTTAGCTATTAAGTTTTGTGATTCTTTCTTTGATGCAGCCATAGAGGTCCTGATGATCGATTCATTTTCATCAAATCTTGGTGTTGATCCCATGGTGGATGTGGCTGTCGTGGATCAGAGGCCGAGTGAAGGTAACCATCCTCGTAGCGAAGAACAAGGGTTGAACCATGAAGGCTCCCTTGGTGCGGCGAGGGAGGAGGAGTTGACTGAGGAACTCTGGGCGTCTTCTGATTCCCTAGCACACCACCTTACAAGTATGGAGGAACAATTTGCCCGTGCTATGGGACACTCTCGAGGGGATGATGACCAAGGGACAGCAACGGTTATGAAGAGGATGGATCGGGGGGGG